TTTGATGGAATCAACTTTGATTGAATAAGATACAAGGTTTCAATGAGTAATTGTGCAAAAAGTGAGTGAACATTGGAATTGGCGAATGAAATATTGAATGAATGGAGAGAAAAGAGAAAAGAAAAATGATTAAGAAATTGAGAGAAAAATTCTGAACACAGAAAAAGTACAACATAAAATGGCTTCATCAATCATAATGAATGTTATTGATTTATAATAACAATAATGATGATAATAATGATAATAATAATAATAATAAAGATAACACTAATGATACGATAAGAATGAGCAGCTCGAATGAAAGGTGAAAAAGTAGCGAAGTAGCAAGTTGATTAAGAATTACTTTTTTTCACTCTTGATTCTATTTCCTCTCATAGGAAGTCATAAAAAATTCAAGATTCTGTTATTGCTCATTGATAATGATGAAACACTGAAAGTCAAACATGTTCTGCACTCTGTTTACGCCAAGATTTATCGACTTAATAATAGTTTAATTTCAATTTAAACCAATTCCAAGTTGAATCGTTTCAAATTCAATACAAAATTGTCTAGAGATTTACAGAAATGAACATTTCCAATGCAGAATCAATGTTGGCAAATAAATCAAAATTCAACTCTTAAGAACTTCATTTCTCGTTATTGTAAGAACAGAATTCTTAGCAATTGAAATTCGAAACAGAAATTTCAAGTTCGAATATTTAGAATTTTGTAAAAAATCGAAATCATTATTTCAAAGATTTTGCTGTTTTCGCTTCTTAACCTTTTCTGTGTTAATGGAAATGTATTTTGCTCTTCAATGTGAATAAATGATTATTGCCTTTGAGAACTCAAATTATGAGCAAATTTATTCACATTCAATCTTTTCACTCTTCATTATTGGTTTGCATTTCCCTTTGAACAAAGTTCATTTTACTTTTCAACATTATTTATTCTCGAACTCATCATTACGCTCATGTTTATCAACCAAAGAGCATCATTTTTGCACCAGATTCTTGGAACTGTTGCAACTTGCAATTATCATTTTTTGCATAAATTATGCTTCACTCAAGTCAATGTTCAAAGTTATTCATTTATCCATATCTTTACATGGAGTTTGATTTAAAAACAATATTTGTACTCATTTAGAAGAGGAAAAGAGTTATTATAGTTATTATCATGGAAAATGAAAAAATCTTTAACGTGGTAAAAAAAAGGAATAAATGTTCGAATAGAAAATCAGAAAATGTTTATTTCAAGATTGCTTTCTCATCGTTAATACACTCATTAAAATGATGACTTTCTGTTAATAAGGTAATTGAAAAAACTCCCAAGGAATATGGCTAATTGATGAGGAGAAAAGAAGGAAATGTTGAGAAGAAAAAAAGATTTCAAACTTGTTCGATATGGAATTTTATTGCAGTTGAAATGTGATTGCAATTTCAATAGATAATTCTGATTCTAAACTGATTGATAATCTCTAAATGACTTGAATCGATTTCCAATTAAACCAGAGTCGATCATAGGCAGCCTTTTAGAAGGCTTCAGTTGCTACAAAAATGTTGACGAAAAAAAGAAGAAAATGATTGAGATTCGAAAAAAGAAATAGCTTTTCGAGTTTCCTTTTCGTCTCATGTTAATACTTATTAGAACCATGAAAGTGGCGATATTATTGAACAAACACTGTTGAAATATTCATCCAGTCGAGTGAACTTGAGCATGATTTAAGGTTACAAATGGAACCCGAGGCAAGAATAAGATGAACACCATGAATAGCAATAAGCAATTTGAATTGATTCCAATTTTTTCTCTTCTCTCTTCATGAAATAATCTTTTCTCTTTCAACATTATTACATTATGGTTACTCATCATGTTGAAATGATTATTGCATTTCTTTCCATTCTCTTTCTTCGTCAACCAAATCTCTATCAACGCGGTAATGATGATGGGTTGGAATGAGTTGTGAAAAGAGTGACACCCATCATGATGTAGATTATTGTATCATTTGAATGGTTCAAATGATAAACTTTTCAATTCAAACTCATAATGGGTTTACTCTTCATTTAAATGCTTTTTTTCATTGATTCAATCAAACAAACTCCAAAACAATTGATGAAACTTTCACTTCATTTTCAATTTCATACTTTACTTTTCAAAACATTTATTCAAATTGCTCTTCAACTTTGTCCACTTCCAGCATTTGATGAACAAAATTATCAACTGTTAATGAACAATTCGAGTAAATGATTTAATTAAACATTATTATGGAAGAAGAGACAAATAGAGTTTCGAAATCGAAATTTTCCAAAATAATATTTTTCCATGAACTTCGACAAAATTTTCTTTCCAGCCTTTACTTGAAATGCTAAAGATTTTTGCACATTTTGATAAGTCTAGATGGTTGGAATTTCTGTAGTTAATCATGAGATTCTGCAAAGTGGATTTGAAGATTGATTTATGAATGTCCTGAAGCGAGTTATCATCAGGAAATTGGTTGAGAACTGGCAGCATGAAGGCGAGTGATGAATGAATAGATAATCTGATATGAAATTAATTTGAATGTGCAAAGTGTTGCAATTGTGTCAATGGCTTGGAATCACTATTCAATTGATGAATCGATTTTTGTGTCCATTCTTTCCGTATCTGATTCTGTTCCTTTTTTTATCATCATGGTACAATGAATATTCTCTTGAAATGAACAAATTTTGTTAGAGAAAATATTTTTCTCCCTTTCATTGCAATTGTTCCACTTTTGAAATTCATTTCCTGTGCAAATTGACCAAATAAACTGAATCGCAAAAAGTAAAGTAACCAGAAAAGGCTGAATAGTGCGGTGAGAGGCAAAAGGAAAGACTGAATAAACAGAGAAAATGGAACAAACAATAACAAATTTTTCTCTTTTTTTGAATAATTGTTTTGTTCTGGTTCAATTTGAAGCTTTTATTGCTCTCAATGAATATGGAAAAAAGATTGCCATGAAATTAATTAACCGAGCAAAGGTCGACTCAAAGTTGAAACACAATTTCATCTTAATTAGTTTTCCAGTTGCAATTAACCAAAAAGTTACAGAAACTAGAAAAGTAAAATTTTCAATTTCGATTTCGAAGAGAAGGAAAAAGGAAAAAAATTTCTTCAGTCAATCTTTAGACTTTTGAATAAAATGAACTTTAAGCAAGAAAAGAGCAGAAAATGAATTTTGGCCAAAATTTTGATCCAAAAATGTTTCAAACTTGACATGGTTCCATTTACACTTGAATGGATAAAACATATTTCATTTGTTCATTTCTTTTGAATGATTTGCCTTGAAACATTTTCTAAATCAAAGTCGAAAAGAAGGAAAAAACATTTTCTTTTGTTGAACTCGAAGCTCATTTTGCAGTGTCCATTATAGTTGTTACTTGTGGTCAATCTGTGTACATATTTATACGCTCTTACAAAACAGGGAATGAGATTAAAATCAATATGAAATGTCTTACAATGAGAGACAAAAATATCCATATAAATGTAAACAGAAAGAAAAATATTGCTTTTGCTTTTACTTCGTATAAATGTACATTAATGCGTGGACAAAACTCGACATTTTTTTCATTTTTTTCCTTCTTCCTCTCAAAATGTTTACTCGGTTGAAATACAAATAAAAGTTGAGACACTTTGCAATATTGATGAATATTTACTGAATATTTTTCATTCCCACTTTTCACTCCCAGCAACTCCAATTAGATAACGCAGATTCTCCTCCCAGTCATTCTCACTCCAAGCAAATTTACGATTCTTTACCAATTCTCATCAATTCTATTGCCTATTACAGACGCAAAATCATGAGTTTGCCTCCATGCTGAGCTCATTCTGTCCAGATGATAAACATCAATCTTTACCATTTCAACTTTATTACTCTTTACTCCCTTTACATTTTCGCATATAATTAGACTTCAACTTTCACCTTTATCTATTAATATCCATACTTTTCATCTCTGGAAACTCAGAGTTATTGGAATCGTTATTCATTCCTAGAAAAAATAAACACTTGAAACATTTTCCATTTTGTTTATTCACTCCAAGTTGACCAATATTTATGTGAACACATCAATTTATTTGCTCATTTTGCCTTGCCAAGTTCCGGTTTCCGACTCTTTAACTGACCCTTTTCCTGAAGAGTTTCATTGATTTCCGGGTTCCATCATGATGATGGTGGAAAGAGTAAGGAAAAAAAGTGAAATTCTTTTCTCGATAAAAATTTTCTCTTCAAACATCAAAATGTTTATCAAAACCAGGCAAGCAAAACCCTCCCAGGCTTGACTATATTACATCCAATCAATTGGCACATTTAGAATCATGAAAATGATGAAATAATTAGAAAACAAAAATGCCATATTTAATCAAACAGTAAATAGCATAATCTGGTGAGAGCAAATAAATTGCATTCCACAACAGAGAAAGTGTCCATTTTTGAAGTGAGAAAATTTCTCGACTCTCAGTCAGTTCCATAGACAAATGCCAGGATTCACATGAGGAGAAACTCTTCATCATTCTATCACATCATCTCCAGTCAATCCTTTTTATCCAAACTTCTTTTTCCATTATCGTTGCACAATGAAAATCGACTAATAAAAATCTCTTTTCTTTTTCCTCTATTCTTACATTTTCTTGTTCACCACTCGAATGGAAATGCAATCTTATGCAACATACACAATGGACAAATTGATTATCCCATTGTTCATCTCACTGTTGACCACTGGTTGTTGATTCTTCTCTTCCTGATGCTTTTCACCTCTCACAACGGGACATCATCATTAACCAATTTACCCTGCTACTTTCATCTGGTTCACCATTTACATTGATTTTTGCTTGCACTTTCTTCTCACAATTAATGGTTTGCCAAACCATTTCTCTCTGTTTAATCCTAATTTGGATTAATTTTTCATTTCATTTTATCCCTCCTTTTGGTTCAACCTTTGGCTACTCATGGTTACACTTGAATGTTGAATATTCATCATTTGACTTGCCATTTGTTGCCAACCTGACAGCTCCACCAACCAAGATTGAGTTTAACTATACTCGAGAAGTAAAGGAAATGCCTTCTGCTTTGAGGAAAACTCGTGGAGATTCAAAAGAAGATTCACCTTTAAATCCATCTTTCGAAGAGCTTTTATCATCATCACCCTCTCATTCCTCCTACACCCAATCTTCAACGGGTCTTCTTCGTTGTGATATAAAAGGTGTTTATCCAATGCCTGAAGTGAGCATCTACCGAATAGGAGATGAGAATGGTACCAATCCGTGGCCAGTGACAGTTGTTGATACCCGAATAGAAGAGGATAAACATCGTCATGCATATAATGTTCGTAAAGTTAGTTTAATCAATGATGCTACTTTAATTAAAAAATTTGGCCTTCAACCGTCCATATTCGAGTGTTTGGTAACACTTCAATTACCCAACAAAAAAGTCGTCAAACGACAAAAAATAATGTATACTCCAGGTAAGTAGTCAAGTAATGGCTATAAAACATTCAACATTTCAAAACTAAATCAAATCATCAATTAAACAAACTCAGCACATAAAAACACAAAAAGCACCGAAAAAGAATAAGTATGCAAAAGAAGAACTTTTCTGAATCTTTGTTTTTCCAAAGAATTTCTGAAACTAGATTTTATATCAAAAGTCTGTTCGATCGGATCTAAGGAAGGCACAGAAGCTAAGCATAAATTATCTTGATTTTTGCGTGAAATCTTGAAGTCGATAGGGTTGTGAATTGTTTTAGTTTTATCATCAAATTCGCATTCAGTCTTTTAGCATTTTGTACGATTGATATTTAAAAGTAGTTTTTGAAACCATTTTGTCTGGAAAAACTCTTAATTCAGGTTTAATAATTGATTCTTGCGTCACAATCTTTCATCGACTGGATCTTTCACTATTGAGATTAACAATTGGATATTGAGCCATAATAATTAATTTCAAAGCACATTATAGAGTCTAAATTAACCAATGAATCCATCATGAAGTGAGTAGCTCTTGAAAGCTTGTTGAAACTAATAATGATTGATTAGATTCACAGATTGACAATTATAATAACAACATTTCTATCGTTGACAGTTTAGTCTGAGCAAGTTTTCCAGAGCAAGAGTAATAATTATTTTTCACTTTTTTCCTTTCATTGTTTTCACTTGACATTTACAAATTCAATAAATTCAACTTGAAAAATTTCATTTTTTTCCTTTTCTTTCCCTTCCTATTCATGTTCTGACAAATTACATGAAGCAATAAATAATATTACAGTAAAGCAAAGAAGAGTGTAGAAAAAGAATGGATTGAAAAACTTTTTTTCTCTACAATCTCGAATAATTGAACTTTACCAACACAATTTACTTGTCATATTCAACAATTATCATTGGCATTTAAACTATTCAATCATTTTAATTCATTCAAAACGTTAATCAAGTTCACATCAAAATATTTTCTCAAAAAAAGTGAAACCATTAATTATATTCCAAGGTTGACATTGTCTGATTAGATTCAATTAAATAAGGTAAATATTATCATGCATTAAGATCGCTTCGAATGGAAAAAATTTTCGAGTTTTTCCATTATCTTTTACTTTCGTTATTCAGTGAAATGTTGCTTTTCCTTTCTAATTCATTCCAATTGTTTCAATTAACTCGAGACAAGAAAAGTCTCTGAAAGTGAAACGGGAAATTTCATGATGAAATATGTTCTAATTGGTCAAATTTACAGTCGAATGAATATCATTATTTTTCTTCTGTTGACAGTAAAGGGTTACAATTTGAATGGTTCATTTCCAGTTTAATCGGCCATGATATTTGACATGATATTTCCTGAATATGACATATTTGTTAGTGTTCAATGTTGATCATAATTAGTTATCTTTCAACTTGAATCTCTTTCATGACATGATACTTTTGTCTCTATTAGGTAAAAGTCAATGTTGACTTTGGATTTTTTGGGAAAACCAATTTTTCGTTTTAATCGCATTCAATGTTAGAGTCTATTTTGGGTTATTTAAACTGAACAATAAGATTTTGCAACTTTTCAAATGCTCTGAATCTTTTGGAAAAGAGTAAAAATAGAAAAGAGATTTAACTCATCAAAATGAATTCTCAGTGTTCCAAGTTTATAATCCAAAAATGTTTCAATATTTGCAACTTTTTTCTTCTTCTCCACTTTTCCATATTCAATAATGCTTAGCAAACTGGTTAAACTGTCAACCAAGCTTCTCTCTTTGGTCTTGTTTATCGGATGGATTACATTGGAAAATGTTGAACAGAAAAACATGATAAACAGAAAATAACTCAATCAAATTTCATCTTCTCTCTTATTTTGATATTCGGGCTTGTTTGACAGAAGACAAAAAATAAAGTGATTCAGGTCAATCAAAATTTGTCATGTTTCAGATTCATGGATCAGTAACACTGACAGGTTGTCGTATAAAAACATCATTTTTTCCTCTCGCATTTAATAGTCGATTAAACTGGAAAAGACAAATTTTGTCTTCTGATTAATAGACATTTTGATGCAAAAGATTTATTGAAATGTTGACATTTTTGCTATAAATTGAAAAACTTTTGACCAACTTTTGTCTCTTTTTTTGTTTCAGTTGTAAATACGTTTCAAGCTAAAGGTGGTCAACATCGACTTGGAACAACTTTTCTGATAACATTGTTAACTGTCTTTTCGGGCAAATTGGTACTGACGTTACTTGGATGGCAATAAAATTGAATCGAGTTTACGTTTCAATGTTGAGATTGGGAAACAAATGGAGAATAAAGAAAAATTTTTTTTTCCTTTTTGTACAAAAAAAGTCAAAATACTGTAATGTAAAGATATTTACTTAATGCTGGTTCATTTTGTTCTGCTGCTGCTTTCAGTGTAAAGTCAAAATGTAAATTGGATGATGAACCAGATGAGAGAGAAAATTTTGTTGAAAGTTGATCTTTTTTCACTCAACAATCTTTCCTTCTCTGAACCAACACTGGAACATTTGATGTAACAAATGGTGACATCTGTTGTCGATTATATGCGATGGAATATTCTGCTATTCATTTTGCTCAAGCAAAGAATCACGTGTCTCATGGATATCAACTTTTATGTGTTGTTCGAGATCAATTTGGTTCTTGTAACTTTTTCTGTTTTGGAATTTTGATCAAATCGAGTTCAATCTAATTTGAAAATTTGGTCGTTTTGTTGACTCAGTTTATACACTGCCTTAGATTCTGCTTGTACCACTCGTTCGTCAATCATAACTGTGACATGAATAAGTTGCCGTGAAACACGAGATTCTTCTCAGATAGTAAATTCATCGCATAGAGAGCCATGTCGTTGCACTTCATCGTCCAGGAAAAGTGAGCTGGAAAAGAAAAAATTGTAGCCTTTATACTTTGAACTTTTAAAATGTAAAAAAGTTGGCATCAAATGAAACTTTTTTATTCAGAAAATAACATTGAATAAAATATTGCTAAATTGTTATTTTATAAAACTCTTTATTCGTTTTTATCAAGGAATATAAGTCGCATAGACTTTGATTTCGAGTCTACCCAATACAAGATATTACGAGTAATGATCCCAAAGGGGTTCATAAAATAAAAGAAATAAGCCTTTCGGATTTGCAAATTGCCGATGCGGGGAAGAGTCTTTTAGCTGTTACATAACCATAAGCTGGTCGGTATTAAAGCTCTTCATAACGACTGCATTGTGACTACATTATGTTAAGCATACAATATAAATATTCAAGAATAAGGCAACAAGTCCTGCGGTCTGTCTTGATTCGCCATCCATTAAGAGCTCCACAATAACACTCTGAATATGGACCACGTCGTAACATCCCCTTCTTGCAGGCATAAGCGTAGGTGAGTTTACATTCATAAAAGACAACTTGTATGTCAATCGAAAATTCTCTTGTATTTTAATATGGTTTGTGTGACATGGTCATGTTTTATTCTGATTCTGATTGATGGTCAACGTTCATGGTCAATCCATTATTTGACCTCTAATTAACATTTGAGGGTCATTTTTTGAGAGTACAAAATTCTGGATATAGAATAATGTTGGGCTGTGTTCATAACTCATGCTGGTTAAAAGATATGATACCATGCCGTTCAGTTAATCTTTCCGATGGCAAGAATTTCACACATAAGACTATCATTTAACGATCTGAAAATTTAAATTTCAGTAATGACCTTTAAATAGTAATCAGAGGTCAAATAATAAATTAGCCATGAATGACCTTGATCGTTCGAACTTATAGTTCTCCAACCCTCTGAAGATATATTCTAAATCCAAGGTCTGTAAACTTAACCGTTTGCGAGTATTTGCTGCAAAACTCTGCTGCATTTCTTGAAAAACTAATTAAATACATTTTAATCCTTTTAATGGTCAACTCAACACAATTTATTACTCTTGCCTAACCACGGACTTGAAAGCACTCATAATCACCAATTAAGCATTTAAGAAAAAAGCGTTGAACAGATGAATATTTATCTTTTGATGAACAAAAATTTAAACCATTTTCTGAACCAATGATTAACAAATTAAACTGATAGATACTCGTATTGTCCAGAAAAGATGAAGACATTGGTCATTCGTTTATCATGCAAATGAAACAATTAACGTGACTTTGAATTCAAAGATAGCATTTGAATAAAATCGTGTAAACATTAATTCAAAATAAAAAACTTTCAACTTAATCATATTCGATATCAAATTTTTATCGAATTCGGAGTCAGGTTGGTCTTGCTGAATCGGGCTTATTCATATAAATCATAAGATGAACCAGATGTCGAGGCTTGAACAAAAGATTCATACCTTCCCGTTGAGTTAATCAATCGATTATCTTTCAGATGGCAAGAAAATTAGACATTCAACTATCATTTAACGATCAAAAAAATTTTAAACTTTCAGAAATTACCTTCAAATGTTAATCAGATGTCGAATGATGGATTAACCATGAATGACCTTGATAGTTAGAACTTTCAGTTTTACAACCCTCTGGAGATGATATTATAAATCCGAGGTCTGTAAACTTTAGTGTTTGCGAGTATTTGCTGCAAAACAGGCGTGAAATGCAAAGAACGCTCTGTATAACTAATATTTTTCAAAGGATATGAGGGTTACCATACTGTTCAGTTAATCAATTATTCTATAAAATAACATTATATTCGTCTGCATATTCTAGCAACGAGACACAAGTTTGGAGACAGATGACGTGACTCAATGGTTTATGCAAGCTTTTCATGGGTTGTTTTTGGTATGAAACTATACAGTTTATTTTCATTTCAATATCTCTATTTGTAAAAAATGACTTGAAACTAAAGTTAAGATTCTGTATGAATGAAGTTATATTTTTGTAATGATAGATGGTGTTACCCGTACTGATTTTTGAACCAATAGATGTTTACGTTCATGTCTATATGATATTCAGTATTGTGCTTTTCGGACTCAAAATATTTATTCAACAAATGAATGGGCACGTGATTAGTGGCAAAGTGGATAAAAATCGTTCGAAAAAGTGCTGTATCAAACGAATTAACTCATCAAGCCCAAAAAGTTACGCTATACTACTTTAGTTTGCTTCTATGACATTAGATGGCCACATATGGGTTTGCTGAATAAACCAAGAAAACTCCCTTTTCCTATTATTGGGAGTTGAATGATTCCTCAACAGACAAGGAGTGCAATATTGATGTAAACAAAATTTAATTCAGTCTAAATGTAGCCTTTGAATGTGATCTACGAAAATTAAATCAATTATTTTTTTCTTAATAATAAACACATTTTGTGCTAAACTTTCATTTTTCTACCCACCTAAATGAATAAAATTCAAGTAAAAATGAAATATCGGAAAATGTAACAAAAAGAAACTTCAATAAAATGACTGAATTAGTCGTGATGATAATTTCAAATTGGAAACTTGAGAAGGTTGAATTTTTCTCATTTTTTCCTAAAAATAATCACATCGGATTAAGTTTTATCAAGTTTAATTGTTCAATCACAACACGAGGAGTTTACTTGAAAAAATAAACACATTCTTTTTGCTTTCACTCGGATTCAAGTTTACAAGTTTTCTCATTTAGCTGATTGTTTACACTTGAATAAGCTATGGAATCAACTCCTTATAGTCATGTTTACTGTGTTGATAAACAGAGTATTAATGTTTTCCAAGATGATGAGAAACCAAGCAAAGGTTTGGATGATTTTTGTGACAAATCATATTACATTGGATTGGAAAATATATTTCAAGAAAATGTACCAACAAATAGTCCACAGCAGCAACAACAAGTATACCAACAAAATGTTCAAGAAACGCAACTTTCTCAAGGATTTAATTGTGACTTATTTCCATCAATCAATCCATCGGAAATGTCAAGCTCAACCTCAACACTGCCCTTACAAGGAACCACAACTAAATCAATTTTGGCAACACCAACCTTCGGTTATCAGACCAATTCATCATCAACCGAAGATTCAGTGCTTTCAATGTGTTCAATGTGCAACCAGCAACCTTACAAACCAGGCACAATTTATGATACAACATCCATCCAAGAAATTCACGTTTCAAATTTACCAGTATGCGACTATTATCCTCCCTCATCAACGCTTCACTCTAACCCTCATCCAGCCCATCATCACCATCACCATCCACATCCAAGTCCACATTATTCCGCAGTCCATCATGCTCACCATTCCCATCCGCAATTGAAAGCAGTTTCCCTTCAAAGTCAACCTCAGTCTCCGTCAGCCATTCACATAACCCAAGTCCAGCATGGAGACGCTTCTCCCTACCTAACAAGGTCCAAGTCAGTGCAGTCAAGTGAGAGTCTCAAGTCACCTTCAGTTCAACCTCAAGCCTCTTTGCTTACACGATGCCGTAAAGTGTTGTCAAATTATCTTCCCTTTATCATTGTTACATCAATATTGTCTGTTGCAGTTGCCCTTTTAATTTCAGCGTCAATTATCTATTTTCAAAGTAAGTCATTATTTCGAGATTAAACTTTTTTTTTCTGATGCAATTCAACGACAATCATTCCATTGCATCTTCCTAAAACTTTTCCCATCCTTTTTTTCTGCTTCTTTATTGGTTGCTATTTTGTGATTACCAATCAATCAATATTGATTTCATTTTGCTTCACATGATTAGGATTGAGCAGTGAAATGATGTTAAAGGAAATGCAACAACAATGTTAATTATTAATATCTTTTTTTATTCTCAACTCTCTTTTCATTCTTCATCTTCTTTCTCGTCTTTGTCATGATCATCATTTCCCTCATCGCCCACAGTTCCAACTGGTTACAAAGAGTACATCTGTGAAAGAGTTAATTGTAGTCATCAATCAACTTGTATTAAAGATGATTATTCAGGAGAAGAAAAGTGTATTTGCCAAGAAGATTGTCCATTGGTAAGCTTCATCAAATCCCTTTCAATGCCCTTTCCCTTAACCCAATTAATTTCAAACATTTGACATTCCCAAACGACTTGACCCAATGTCCAAAAATTCATTTTAGATGTTTTCCAAAGAGAAAGAAAATCAGTTCAATTCGAATCGAATTTCATGAAAATCTTTGCTGAACATCATGTGTTGATATAAACATGTGATGTAATAAAAACGACAATTTTCATTTCAAATGATTTCGATCTTTTGGTTGACAAAAATTATCAATGCAAAGAGATTGATTGATGTTTAAATTGTCTCACAATTCATTAATCTCTTTCTGTTTCTTTTTACCTTCCGTTGCTGATAAATCACCTTTAATGTGTGTAAACTTACCTTCTTGTCTTCTCATTATCTTAATTATCTTGTTAATGGGTGTGATTAATATCATTATAAACATTATCATAATGATTTGTCAAACGAAAAACAAAAACGTTAAACAACATCAATTAAAAGGATGGTGGTATTAGTGTTTGTGGAACCGATGGATTAACTTATCAAAATGAGTGTCTACTCAACCTTAATGCATGTAAAAAGAATGTTGCTATTTTGGTTGCTTACCATGATACCTGTGATGTTTGTAAACACGTTCACTGTAAATATGGAGCCATCTGTGAAAAGGGTTCATGCATTTGCCCAACCGATTGTCCAACTTCATTCGAGCCAGTGTGCTCTTCAGAGGGAACAACATATACCAATGAGTGTCACCTAAGACACTCTATGTGTTCAACTGGGATAACATTGACAGTAGCCTACTACGGTGAATGTCAAGATGTGAGAGGTTCTGAAACAAGTGGTATGTATAGCTCATTTCAAGTTTTGTGTAGTTGATATTTAAGTGAAAAAGTGAAAATTAAACAAAAATTTTTCTATTTATGGGCACTTTGATACATTGGCACATTGGCACTTCAGAGCTTATTGGAGGTGCTGGTTATATACAAACTTGTGATCCAAATACATGCCTTTATGGAGGTACCTGTGATTATGATAAAAATGGTGTGCCTCAATGCCTTTGCTCTTATTCATGTCCGTCCCAAGAGTCTGATGAAGATCCCGTCTGTGGTAGTGATGGTGAGTCTAACCTTCTGTGTCTAAAACAACTTGAAAATGTCATTCTTTGAAATTCGGAGCAAGAACTTTGTCGAGTCCTTTAATGTTCAAAAATTTCACTTTTCTCAGTTTTCCCATCAATCAGTTTTAAAAAGTTGTCTGATTAATTTTTTAAAATTTCATTTATCCTTCCAAACGATTCTATCATTTTTTCATGGTGACAATTTTAAAAATCAATTTCTCCTGAGATTTACTAAGGGACATTAAAGAAAAGTTTGTATTTTTTCAAGCTTTTTTTAGCATTTGCTCAATATCCAAATGTGGAGGTGTTTCAGACTGAAGTGAACTTACTGTCGTTAATCATGCTTAAAGTTTATTTGAAAGTAATCGTAAGTGTATAAACTCACAATGAAGCTAAATTAATTAATCAATTGAATGAGCAATTAACAATTCCTCTTTTGTAAAGTGTCAATTGATAAAAAACAGAAAACTGTTTCAAACTTTTCTCATCTAATTAGTGATAGTTGAAGCATTTTAAATGTGCAGTTGAATTGCAATCAATACTGAATCGTTTGAAATTGAATCTTTTTCCACATTTCAACTCGAGTCATTAACATTTCTGTTGATTAAAATTAAACTATTCAAAAGTATCTTCCAAGTGTTTCAAAGTTTCAAATGTTGAATAATAAAACAATCAATCGAAATCGAAATTTTCATCATTTAAATGTTAGACTCGAAAAGAGTGGGAAACAGCAAAAAGTGTTATTTTATTATTCTGCAATTTTCATTACCTTGTCAGCCAGATGAGTTCAGTAGAAAAAAAAGCTCAATAAAAGCAAATGAAAAGTTGCAAGTTGAATATCTAATCTTGTGATTCCGGTCAATACAGTCTGAGGATACTCAGTTTGTCCATCAGATTAAGAAGGCAACTATTTTCAACAAAAGAAGGTTAATAATTTAACTTTGGTCAAGGCAAAGAGCAAGAAGAAGAAGAAGCATCACAAGAAGGAAGAGCGACTTTGTATAACTTGAAAAATCTTCATTGATCTTCATGTCTGGATGATGAGGGTGAAAGAAAAGAGTTTTTCATGTCAACATGAGTTTCACTTGGAACCAGTCTAGATTGGATTCTGATGGTAGAGAAAAGGCAAGAGTGAAAAGGAAAGATGCCAATGAAAGATTAACAAATACAACTATTAATACAGATTAAACACAAGTAAAGACGAGCCTCTGATGATAATGATGATGGATGATTAAAGATTGGTTAGTTAGTTGAAAAGTTTGCAAATTTTCGAGTTTCTTTTGCATATTGATTTTCATCACATTTTTCATTGCAATTTTCCTCTTTATTCACTTGAAAACTTTACTGTCACTTTAATATCTAAATGCATATGATGTTATTGTTTTGCCTTTTTCTTCATCTTCTTCATCTTCCTCATCTTTGCCATCTTTTTCATTATTCTCTGTTTTTCCGCCTTTGTTCCATTGAAATTATTTCTTCTTTGTTCAGTTTTCATCAAATTCTCAAAAGGAAATGAAAAGAGGCAAAACAAGAAAAGTTGTCATTTTTAACCTTTCCATTCATGTAATACATGGCCATTCAACTCTCAGGTTTTCATCAACTTTTGGAAACAATATGGAAAAAGAATTTAAATTTTTTTCTATTTTTCATTTTCTCCACTTTTTTTCAAGTTTATCATTTTCTTCAAATGCTTTGAGTTGACAACTTTTACCTTGACAATTTTGTTGCATATAAATTATCAATTTTGTCAAATTTTCAGTCAAATCAAATATTCCAAATGACTGAATGCTGTTGAATTGAATATTGAATTTTGATTTTTTTTACTTTGTACTTTTCTTTTGTTGAAAGGTCGTCTTTACGAGAATGAGTGTAAACTTCAAGAAGAAGCCTGTCGTCGTCAGCAGGATATCAAACCTGAAAATCGTTCCATGTGTGAAGAGAGTAAAATAGTTCCGTGTAATGGTGAAGAGGAACCGTTGCCTGGTCCACAATTTACTTGCTCACAAAATGATTCAAGTACAAACTCGGACTGTCCGAAAGACAGTTATTGCCATCGGACGCACAATTTTGGAAAATGTTGTCCAAACAAAACCAACCTCGGAACCGTGATAAACTGTACCTTAACCGAGTTTGGTTGTTGTCCCGATGGTTTGACTCCAGCTCCAGGAGCTCATGATGCTGGTTGTCCTTCCCTCTGTAACTGCAATCGTTTTGGTTCTTATGCATTAACCTGTGATCCAAATACCTACCAGTGTCACTGTAAACCTGGTGTTGGAGGCCTTCAATGTGATCGATGTGAAGCCGGTTTCTGGGGTTTGCACAAAATCTCTGAAGGAAATGCTGGCTGTATTCGTAAGTATCAAGGGAAACATTTTTCACCATTAAACTGTGATCGATAAAGTTTCAGTTTTCTGATTCTCTCTTTATTATTATAATATAAATTTCAAGGTTGAACCCATCAGCCATTTATAAATTTAGTAGACACGACTAGAATATCATTATAAATGAAAGTAAAGTTATCAGAAAAATAAGTACTCATGAGCTCCAATGAATTCTCAAGAGCAGACATTTCAATCTGAATCAAGAAAAGAAAGTGTAAAACTCTCGAGACAATTTCAATTAAAAGTGTTGAAAAGTCGAAAAGAAAGCTTTTTCTTCTAGTTTCAAGGAATTTAAAAAGTTTTGCCCAAAAATCGAAATGTAAACAAATAGCCAATATTTTCGTCAAAATTTTAAATCAATTACGCAAAAATTTACTTTTCTTAAACAGAATTGATTGACAAAATTTTTGACTTTTTCTAGTTCGACTTCGAATAAATCGAATTTCGGTCTATAAATAATTAATTGAAATAAAAACCCAAAACGATTCGAATTTAGTATCAAATAATGTCGCTCAACATTTGGAAGCTTCTCGTATTGGAGACTTGAAACTCTAGAAGTTATGAATTCGAATCAGACTTCAATTTATTTAAGTTTGAACTCGAATTTGTGAATCAACTTTGACCAAGAAAAATAAAGTTTTTGGTAATTGAGTTGAATTTTGTTTGCATTCCTGGGCGAATAGAGCTATTCAAAGGTTAAGAGCTGGAAAAGATTGGCACTTATGATTAGTAGGACGATGCATTTTTATGTAAATAATGTTGAATTTGAAATAAACATTGAATGGAAATGGTAAACATAAAGGCTGTCAACGTAGGCTGGGATTGAGTTTCTGGTTGACTCAATTTTTTTGACATTTTTAGTTTTCTTGTTCACAATTGTATTCAAAATCATTGAGCATAAACCCAGTCAATAGAAATGTTATTGTGAAAAAATCTCTTTTTTTCACTTCTTTTTTTTCTCTCTCTTCGCCTTTGCCATTCTTTATTCAAGTATCATTTGTGTTAATGAACATTTTATTATGCTGAATGAAGAAGGCAAAAAAACGAGAAAAGAAATGTGTTTGCTTAACTAATGATGATGATGCTTGTTGTTTAAATTTTTCATTTTCTCGTTTAGCTTGTTCGTGTAACATGAATGGTTCTGTTCGTGATGATTGTGAACAAATGACTGGCAGATGCATCTGTAAACATGGACTTCAGGGTATGAAGTGCAACGTTTGTCCAAAAGATTCTGTTCTAACTCCAGATGGATGTGCTGATGGTTTGTACCGTTTCATCGATCATCTTTTCCCTTCCATTTTTCACTCTCTTTTGTCCAACCTCCAGCAATGAAAAGTCAAGTTTCCTTCCAATATCAAGACTGAATTCAGTCGACATGAATGTGTTTACAAGAACATTAAAAGTTTCATGATTTATTTTCAAACCTTTTCTGTTAATGCAAACTCTTCAATTATTCATGTTTACAGTTCATCTTTACACAAACAGATTAGTAACTAAGCTTGACGTCAAAATTTACTTTCGTTTTTAACGTAAAATTTTTTTTTCTTTTGATATTAACTTTTGAATTTCAACTTTTCGTTTTGTTTTGATTCTAAATCTCTAGTTTCGTTGATCAAAATTTACAACTCAACTTGCAATGAAATTGAGTGTAAATTTGGTGCCACATGTCGCAACGTGTCAACCAGTGAAGTTCAATGTTTTTGCGACATGAAATGTCAACAAGATGTGACTCGTAAACGCTTGGCTGGGAGTGGATCAGAGCGAGTTTGTGCCTCGGATGGAACCACATATCCTTCAGAGTGTGGACTGCATCTGTATGCATGTAGGATGCAGAAGAACTTGACCGTCCTCTATCAAGGTGAATGCACTGTTGGTCCAACTTCGACCATGAATGATAACCAGTCGATATACTATGGCGACCATTACAGTAAAACATCATTGACATCATCTTCTGTGCCACTCTCAACTCTTCACTCTTTTGCCTCGTTTACCTCTTCTGCCTCTTCAACAATGACAACCACTTCTCTCTCCTCTCCAACCACACTATCATTATCATCAACCTTGCCTTTGCTCTCCACTTCAACAAGCCCGGTTGACAATACATTTACACTGAGCCCGTTAAAGCGATCAACAGTTTACAAGACAACTTTTCAAGATTCAAGTTCATCAAGCTATTCAGAGAAACCATCTTCAGAATCAAGTGGATCAACATCCAATGAGACTGAAGTTTCAAGCACTTGGCCAACATTTTTCCTTCTCGACAACAATACAGAAGTAAAGGCAACCACTTTAACTAAACCCATTTCGATTCCATCCTTTTTCGGTCAATCGTCCATTGAAATGCCTCGACTTAATGCCTACACTCGACTGTCCATTGAAATGGAATTTTTAACTTTTTCTGAAAATGGATTGCTCATTTATAATGGACAGACAGCCAATGGCGAAGGAGATTTTGTTTCAATTTCAATCAAAGGAGGTGAGTTGCAGAAGAATCTGATTTCAATTTTTTCAATTTTTTCTCCAAGTTCAACTTTTCCTTGTTTCTCATGCAAACTTTGTTTCCTTTTCGTCTTTTTTTTCATCCACTTGAATCTTTTATTCAATTACAACGAAATTGGTGATAATTTGAGAAAACATAATCCACAAGATTAACATTCAATCCTTCGAGTTCAACTTGACTCAGACAACTAATCTCGCCAAGAGTAATTAAAGAGTTGCCTTTTCCAGGACTAAAGGATAAAAGAATGGAGAAAAAAAAGAAGAAAAAATCAATTTCAAGTAGATTAATCAAAATGTAGCATTAATAGTTGATATTTCATTTCAGACTTTTCAACCTCAGTAAAATATCAATTAGCAGTTGAAAGCTTTTTTTGTTTCAATTTTAATTCTCTGCTCTTTAATGAAACAATGAGAGATAACAAATTGAGGCAAAAAAGCAACTCTTAGCATAATTTGCATTAAATTTTCATTCATCTTTTTTATTCTCCATCGTTGAGTCATTTTTCAAGTTGAACTTTTAATTGCAATTGTGATTAAAATTGTTTTCATCAAAAGTTATCTTGCACGAAACAGGAGAAAAGTTTAGATTAGAAAATTTTGACGAAAAAATTTATTCTTTTAGGTTACATTGAATTTCGTTACAATCTTGGCTCTGGAATGGTTATACTTCGTTCATTGGAAAAGATATCGACTCGTGAACGAATCAAACTGGTTGCCAAACGCTACCTAAGAGATGGACTGTTGACGGTTGATAAACAGCGAGATGTTGCTGGTTCAGCTGAAGGTGACTTGAAGAATCTGGATTTGGCTGAGAATCTATTCATTGGCCATGTAACGGCCAGCAATTCGAGCAAAATTTATGACAACATTGGTATAACAAAGGGTTTTATTGGTTGCCTTTATTCAATGAGAATTGGACGCAATCCAATTAACCTAACTTATCCTGGTTCCAATGATATTCTCAGGATGATCAATGTTATCGATTGCAGTGAGCTTCCATGTTTCTCTGATAACAGTGAATCCTGTTCATCTCCTTCTTCAGGCTCATCCTCATTCTCATCTGGATAATACAAAATGATCATCAATGGATGATGATGATACACACAAAGAAGCAACTAAATAGTCGACCAACATAGACTGCTAGGCTTACCAAGTAAACTTTGCCCATTTCACTGTAAATCTTTTTTCTCAACTGGATTGTGGGTTGAGAAGTGGAGGGAAAAAGTTTTACCAAGGAAAACAAAGGTTGGACCATCCAGGGAAGAGAAAAGGTAATCAATCAAATCCTAAAGAGATGTACCACGTTTCCGCCTTGTTCAGTAATAATATCAAGTTTCGTACAACTGGTTGAACCGATGAAGAACAAAAAGTGAAATTGAAGCAAAAGCATTTTGTGACAATGAAAATGATTCAATGACTTCAATGGCTAATCAGGGAACAGATGAAAACAGTGTTGTCTCGATGGAGTAAAGTTTAACCAAAAGGAGAAGATAAAACTTGTGAAAGGTAAGAAAAGGTTATCATTATTCAGTCCCAGATTATTCACAGTTCTGTTGAATATGATTCTTCTGTGCGAATGAAACAAATTGTCTTTTTGATTGATGGCCAATATTTCCATTCCAATGGACACAATTAATGAACAATTAGTCGATAAAGAGACTTGGTTTGTGGTTGAATGCTCTGTGAGATTTGCATTGGAAAAGTTTTTTCTTTGACTTTGTACTTTGAACATTTTCGGAATTCATTTGTCTTTTGTTTTTTTTCTTTCGCTTTTTTTTGTTAATTCAATTTTTCCTTCTCTTCCTCTTTTGCTCATGATGATTCTCATAATAGTGAGATAATTTTCATGGTAATCAAGATGATTCCATGAATGGTTATCAAGCAGTTTCTCTTTTTGTATACAAACAGGAACAAGTTTGTCACCAGAGAGGAAATTAAAACGAAATTTCAAATGCAAATTGAATTTAACTCTTTTTTTGCCTTCTTCTCTCGTTGCTTAACACAAATGAAAATAATTACTTCTCATTAATTTAATTATGAAAAGTCGCTTTTTTGTCCTTTCTACTCTTGAACCCTTTTCTTATTTGTATACAATCATCTTTCAACATTAATGATGATAATCATTGAGAGGAAATGTTGATGAATTTAATTGTTGAAAAGTTCATTTCAAACAATTGGAATAAAGAAAATGGTTTCCACGAGAAGCTCTAGAGTCACATTTTAAATGAATTCAAGAGTCTCCATTGTCAACTTGATTACCATGTGATTAACAGTCGAAATTCATTTTCGTTTTGAATCAAATTTTCAACTTCTGTCGACTTTTTTGCCACAAAACACTTGCGAGTCAAAGAAATGAAGACAAAAAGCTCAAGCTAATATTCGCTGCAAAGTTCTGAAATAATATTTTCGATTGCCCAAATAAACTTCGAATTCCATATTTCCAAAAACTTCCTGAAATCGAATTTCATTTTGCGAATTTGAGTCGTAGTTGTTTGAAATCAGAAGTTCTGTAATCTCAAGATTGATTAAATTCTGGTTTTATTGTTGGCTGAGCTTGGAAATTGATGAAACGAAAATTCGTTTCAACTATTAATATTTGCTGGAAAACGATTTACTTTTCGAGTTAGTTAATTAATTTCCTTTTCTTAGAATACGATTGGAAGAATTTCGAAATTTTTTTTCTATTTTTGGATTCAAATTTATTGGTTTTGTATTCAATTTGTAATTTGATAATATCGATGAAAATGTTTACCAAAATGATGAGATTACTCGACTCTTCAAACTTTTACTTTGGCTAATCAAATGCTGTCAAAATAGAGAAATGATTTTTTATTGAATTTACAATAATCTCATCACTTTTTATTGGACAAAGTTTCAACATTTACAATCCAAACATTGGTTGCATTGAGTTATTGATGAATGATGTGATCATGTTTTGCTTGGCTCATGACAGAATCAAATATTTATGATTAATTTTACGACTTTCTTTTCACTCTCTTCAACTTTATCTTTGAAACTTGTTTCGTCTCTGATAATTCAATTTGTTGAGACACAATTGCAATTGTCTGATTCAACTTTAATAGGTAAACAGGAGAAGAAGAAAAAAGTTTGCAAAAAGAATGAAAAATCCGCAAACTTATCAAGTTACAATATATTGCTTGACATTTATTTCAACATTTACTTTGCAATTTTGTCACAAAATGTAAGAAAATGTTGAAGACGAAAGTCCAATAAAAAGACTGTTAAACAGATAACGGTTTATCGACTGGTTATTGAATAAAATCGTAATTGTCTTTACTTTGATTGGGAATCAACCAAGACATTTTATCCTCGAGAGACTATTGGTAACTTTGGAATTGATTGTTACCCTCAAGCAAAGTTGATCATGATAATTGACGAATGCCAAGAATCGAATGGAAATCAAAGATTTTTCATGATAATTTTTCTCAAAATTTTTCTCTTCGAATCTCATAATCTAAAAATGAATACAAATTTGATGTAAACTTGAAGTATAATTATGAAAGTAATTCAGAGAGAAGCAAACGTTTTACGAAAAAAACATTAAATTTAAACTTTTCTTTTCTTTTTTCTCTTTTCTCCAAATTACATATTGTTATTAATGTACTTGTATCGAACATTTTTCTACTTTTGCATTTAGTTTCATGGAAAAGGTAAAATGAGATTTGAAATGAGAAATGAAAATGAATGAGAATTTGTTGGAAAAGAAATCTTTTTTCATCTTTTCAAGTCAAGTTTATTGGACAATGAAAGAGGTAAAAGTTAAATTGATATTGAATGTGAACGTAAATGAGTTTGTTTTAATTCACTCATGAGATTGAAGTTCAACTTGCAATGGAAGAAAAAGTTTTGCTTTAAAAGTTCAGAATAATCTTTGATTATAAATAGAGAAGGAAAAGAACAAAATAAGATAATAACTTTTGTGTTCCTCTTTGATTCTGTTTCGTTTATAAAAATTGAAGGAAATTCCTGTAAGGCATTACAGTGATGTTTGAAATGTTTGGCTCAACGTTTGAATATTTATTTTGGTTATTTATAAAAGTGTAGGCAGAGAGTTGAGTAAAGACTGGGAAGGATAAAAAAGGATGATAATAGTATTATCTGTATATTGGTATGAGAAGTGCAACTCGTTATAATAATCTTTACCAAATTATCTTAAGATGATTCTCAAGAGGTTATCTGTTGGAAAATTTTTTTTACTCTTTTCTTACCTTTCTCTTTCCAAATGATGATTTCACTTGAGAAACAGGTAGCTTACTCATCATGATGATGAGGCAAGAAGAAAAAGAACAGTAAAAAGGTAGAATAAACATTAAATTTATGTTATATTCATTTAACAGAGTCAAGCTTCTAATTGAGTCAAGTATCGTTGTTGCTCAGTGGCAATTTTGGCTAAAAATTGATGCAATAAATTTAACATAAGAAAAGTGGAATAAGTGATTTCATTTTCATGAGCCTCGAAAAAGCATTAACTGAAACAACAAGAAATGACATTAAATTTGAATTGCTGGTTCGACATTATTTACTCTGTAAAGTGTCACTCGAGTCTGACCCTCTTTGAGTGCAAATCCAATGCAGACGAGAGCAGCTTCTAGGTTGAGGTACTTGGCTCTTGGCTGTTGTTTGCCAATGAGATTTTTGGTCAATACTTGTTGAGATGTTTTTGTCACGACTTAAGTTGGACCAGACTTTGATTGCATAGACTTTATTCAAGTGTCCAATGTTGACCATTAATTGTGGACCCATTTTTCTTGACCAATTTTAGTACTTGTTTAGTGTCACACTTTACTGTCCTACTGAGATTTGCCTGATTGTCACATGAAACATTAAACAATTAATGCAAATGAAATTGTTCCGGCGAGCCTTTGGTTATCTCATGAAATGATGCCAACTTTTCCTTTTCTTTATCCTCATCATTGTTTGTTTTTTTTACTCTTCTCGCAACTTCAATCTTTTATTATTATTATCAAGATGCTTTTCGATTCTTTGCATTTTCAGATGACTTTTTTTCGTCTTCTTTTCTATTCTTCTCAGTTATTTTCACACCCAAAATCATTGCCATTTACTTGAGCTGTTTCACCTCGTAATTGATTTTTCCACCCCAATCTCTCTCTCTCACTCTTTTCTTTCTTTTACTCTTTCTGATGTTCATCTATTTCTTGAAATTTTCTTTCTCTTTTGGTTATGCTTTTTTGATTCCATTTTATCCAAGTATCATCTAAATATAATAGAGAATCCTCTTGAGATATAAACATGGAGTGTAAAAAAAGATGATGAGAAAAGTAAGTAAAGTATTAAAGGGAAAAAAGAAGCAAGAAAAAGATGAAGGCGAAAAAAATGGAGAATCTTTCATCCATTTGTTTCGCTTGGTTTACATCAAGCAAAAATCTCTCAATTCTTCATCATTTCTCATTCGTATGCCTGCATTATCACTCATATTGCAACATTTTTTCAGCTCACATCTTGTCTTCACTCTGCTTTTTTATCCTTCTCATCATTCAAATATGCAATACACTCGAAGTTGCCACTTTGGACTTGGTCCATCCGTTGACGTCATTCAATAATTCCGTTGTACATTCTGTTGATCAAGAACTGAGAAAATCGAAAAGAAACGAAAAAAAGTTCTTTATCCAAAATGTTTTTTCTTCATTCGTTAATCAACGCATTTTTGAGTAAAAGTTTTAAGCGGATTGACCTGTAAATTAGTTGAATGCTGTTTGAGGACAATGAATGTTCATCAGATTTTCGTTGAAAGAAACTTGAAGACAATGAAAGCATTGAAAAAAGTTGAGTTTAAAGCAAAACAGTTTAAAGGGAAAATGCAAAGTGATGAAACACGAATTTCGAGTCGAATCAGTAAAAGAGAAGTTCAGAGTTGCAGGGATTTGCTAAAGAGAATCATGGGATGAAAAACGAAGAATAGTGTTTTGAAAGGTGAAGAGAGAAAGGGTTCGAGATAATGAAAGAATGAAAATGTATTTATATCGATTGATTAAAAATGAGGCGACACTTTTATGGATTGGAGTAAAGGATAACAGTTGCTCTTTTTGTCAGTCGATATTGACAATTGTTTAGGGTTTGACATGAGTTTATTCATTGGGATTCCAATAATTGGCTATTCAACTATGTACAGTTTAACTGTGACCCAATCAAGATGTACATGATGATACAATAAAAAGGACAAAGGAAAAAAAGGAATCATTGTTGACCTTAAGATTACCTTTACTGTTAACTTGTGATTCACTAATAACATACCAAGTTTCATTTTTTTGCTTCTTCCCTGTCCAACAATAAATGCTAATAACAAGATGAATAATGAGCAATGATAATGATGATAATTGAAACAGTGTGACTGACAATGGATAATTGAGTATAACAAATTGCTCTTGGAAATGACAATGAAACTCGCCATTATTCAATGCAACTGTTTGATCCAATAATCTATTCAATGGTTTCATCATTTTTACCGATAATCGTTTTGTCGCAAT